ATGGGTAGGTCTATATATGGTGATATGACCGCGTACATTATCAACAACAATGGTTACCTTAAAGTGGTAAATGTGGGTTAAGATAAATATAAACTTTGAGAACCCCTTACGTAATTTTACAAACACATAATAAAAGCAAACGTATAGAAATCTGATCGTAATTCTTAGACGCGCAAAAAAAATATTCGTAAAACCGGGGCGGTATTACAGATTCTTATTTTCCGGGCCACTTGACAAATGGCCCTTTTGCTTTAATAGAAAAATGTCCGAACCGCGTGTTTCTCATCCGTCTTATTTTACGTTGTGTGTTTGTGTTTAAATTCCAGCAATTCTGAACACAAAAATAGGAAGGTTAAAAGAGAACGCGGTGGTATTTATTGACAATAGACCAAGATACAGGCTATTAGGTTATATCAGTAGCCGCCCCCCCCCTCCCCTCCTTCCCCCCAGCAGCCCATCAGCGATAAGGAACGAGTCTGTGTGGTAAATTATCCTACTGTTATTACCGTAACAAACTGTACGGCGGCCACGGATACAACCATCACGTTTGATTTGTACGGCTGTTACTGTTTATATATGTATTTAATTTTTATATTTCTCGTACTTTTGTGTGTGTGTGTGTGTGTGTGTGTGTGTGTGTGTGTGTGTTTCTTTTACAGCTTAACTAGTATTAAGCGATTGTGTAAAGACGTATCATTGGCCGAAGGAATTTGTGAATGGCGAATCAATGACCATCAATGAACATCATCATCACCCGTGCCGTAGCTATTGAGAGGTGATGGTGGTGTTGGGGAGACACGAGTTACATAGGAGGGAAGGTGAGGGTGGGGACGAGAAGTGAGGGTGGGGAGGAGAAGTGAGGGTGTGGTGGTGAGGTGAGGGTGTGGTGGTGAGGTGAGGGTTGGGTGGAGAGGGTAGGGTGGGGTGGTGAGGTAGAGAAGTGAGGGTAGGGTGGAAAGGCAAAGAGGTGCGGTGAGGGACAGGTCAATGGGTGATCAGGTCAGGTCAGCCGAAGTGTAAGGTGAGGTCAAAGTATGATAGCTGAAGGTCAAAGACGTCAAGGTAGGAATATATGAATGACGGAAAGTGCAGTAGGGACAAGGAGGAAATAAAGTAGGGGCAAGGAGGAAATAAAGTAGGGGCAAGGAGGAAATAAAGTAGGGGCGAGGTAGGGACCAGGAAGAGACAAGGTGAGGGCAAGGTATAGACGGGCATGCCTTGGGGTACGTAAGTTAGGAGGAGAAACAAGAGAAGTCGTGGGTATTTTTACATGGTGGCTAGTGTATTAGGGTGGGTCCCGTGCCTCTGTACCTTACCTCTTTCCCTCCCACTTTCACCCCCCATTACATATCGGTCTCTACCTCACCTGTCGTCGTTTCCTCGTACGCCTTCCTTCACCACCACCACCTCCTTCTCCTCTTCCTCCTCTACATCCAAACACTTGCGACCGTAGATTCCTCCCGTCAAATCTCACTCGGTGCTGACTTCCTGACAGTGCCACCAACTTCATTATCACCACTATGACCACCATCCACATCACCATGACCTCCATCCTCACCACCATCCACACCACCATCTTCACCACCATCCCCACTACCTTCAGCCTCAGTCGTGTAAACTTCTTGGGGTAAAGGTTTGTGTGTTGGGCCCCCTCCTCCTTGCTTTCATCGTCCATTTAATGGTTTATACCTGCGTCTTCCTTCCTGCTCTGTAATGTACCCAAGTAACTCTTTTGTTTGTATCCCGTGGCTTCGGAGGGGGATTTGTAAATAGTGTGTGTGTGTGTCCGTCCCCCCGTCCGTCCGCGTGTATGCAATAATTCGAACTAACAGAGATAAATTGTCCTGCAAATTGTTTGGATATAACCCAGCCACGGATGAACTGAACTGTCATTATTTCTCTATGTATCCGAAATATTATAGATTATATCTTGAAAAAAACATTAACAGCAAAAACAAATAGGCTAGTTGAGACATACACATGGCCAGGTGAAGCCGGTGGTCATAACTGCTGGGTAAACTAACAGTGCTTTCAGAGAGCTTTTAGTCTGGGCGTTTTAACCTTCCGCTCTGACCCAAATCTCACGTCCAGGTGTCGGCCAAACGCGATCACTGGTGTCGTGTTGTTAGCCCATGAGTGTGTAGTGTTACCTGACCATAGCCCGTTAAGCTTTGAGATACCTGGGTGAAATACTTAAATACACTCATATACAGTAAACATACGTGTACACATGTATCATAGTTATATACTGTGCATGCATTCATATATAATGTGTGTGTGTCTGTGTTTGGGATTATGGAGTGTTGGAAACGTAAGTCTTGACACGTGTCGCTTGGTAATAATATACTGTAAGGGTATAATTCAAAGGGTAGCTTGTTGGAAATGTTTAGGGGACATGTCATAATAGGTCTTTAGCTTGGAATGCGCAAATGGCCATGTCACACACCGGCTCGTACCTTGACATACCTGTTAGTACCTGAGAAACGTGTAAAGGGAGGAGGGGGACACGTGAGGAGACACGGATTTCATTGATAATTTACCTTGGAAATGTATAACCGGACATGTGGTTCATAGGGACATGCTTATAAGTTTAGCTGGAAACGTATAAGGTGGGAAATGCAACACGTAAACTGACCGCTTGGAGAGGCACGCAGGAGAACGGGGTGAAAATAGCCCCTGGGGGAAGTGAGGAGGTAGTTTATGAAGCAGTTTAAGTCAGTCAGTTTGAGCCGTCCGTCCAACCTGAAGTGTCTCGGTCGTATTTCTGTCTGTGTGTGTGTGTGGTTTTCAAGCTGCAGTCTGTGGCAGTGTTTGTTTTTTAAAGTGTGGCATCTCCCTTGATGTTTATGATGGGGGCACTACCTCAGATGCTCCTGTCTTCAGGCAACACTGTGACTGATTTGATGCAATAAAACCACACACACACACTCACACAAGTTGTCAGTGGCTGGCAGCGGTGCCCACATTCTTGGTGAAGCAGCTCTGCCTCCCTCTGGTTATTAATTACCACCACTACCAGAGGCTCCTGCTGCCCTGCCCTGCCCTGCCCTGCCCAGTCTCTCTCTCTCTCTTAATCTGAAGTTTATTCGATTAGCTTAACTTTAACATTGAACCTAACCTAACTTACCATGGCCTGTGTTTTCGAGGAAGGATAGGATATGGCCCCCTATTCCCTACTATGTGTTTTTGTGTCTTGTCTTCCTCGCTTGCATGCTTGACTTGCTTTCTTATTTTTTCACGTCTTCCTTCCTTGCATCCTCTTCACTTTTTGTCTTTCCTTTCTTCCCTCTTCTCTCCCTCCCTCCCCCGCCGCCTTTATGTTCGTAAACTCTTGGCTGCCTTCCTTATTGTTTTTGGATATAACGCTGTCAGTTTTATTACACAGGGTGAAGGATGTTGTAGGGGGGTGTGGGGTGATCCCTTCCTCATTCTTATTTTGTGGGGCGGAAGTGATGAGGGTGTGTCGAGGGGTGGGGGTGCTGACTGGTGGCATTGGAGTAGGAAGGAAAAAAAAACCAGATTTATTTATAAGGAAGGGAGTTCTAAAAATATACACCATTTTTTTAATTTGGTCATTTGAGTCGGGAATCAAGATATGCTTCCGTTTGTACTTGGGGGTCTGTGTGTCTGTACTTGGGGTCCGTGCGTCTGTACTTGACTCCCAGTTATGTACCCTGTATCTTGAGAACGAAATTGAGCTTGTGTTCTGATATTTGGCACCATACTACCCCACGTGGACCTCTTGGATTGGCTCGATAATCTCTCTCCCGTCTCTCTCTCTCTTCCCCGCCTCTCTCTGAAGGTTAATGGCCAGAAGAGAATGTAATTTTCCTATTATCATCCCATATCATTGGAAGACTCGGCGGTGATATATCTTTAATAGGGGGGGAGGATGAGGACTGGATGACTATTTTTATATTCTTGATCCGTTTTATTGTATACTTAAATATCTACTAAAGAAAGACAACTAAGCTTTGATGCTTTTGTTGTCAGAGATAAGTGGTCCCGCTAGCTAGATGAATGGAGACTGGGGGAGGGGTGACCGCGATCCTTTTGAGATAAAGCTACTCGATCTTGTCTTGACCTAACCTAACCTATTCTGACCTGGTGATGACGTCACAGCATTTGGTGATGACTTCACAGCAGTTGTATTTATTATTTTTTTTTGGGAGTTTGGATTTCTTTGAAATTGTTGGATTTGGGGGGAAAATGTTCGAAATTCTTTGGAAATTTGTAGGAAATTATCCCTCTCCTCCTTTCCTATCACACCCCCTTCCTTCCCTCAATCTTTTCCATCTCCCTTTCCTCTCATCCCTTTTCTCTTATCCCTCACTCCTTACTTCTATCCCTCTCTCTCTTCTCCGTACTATCCATCTCCTCTCATACGCCTCCCCTCCTTCTCCATATCCCACTCCCCTCATCCTTCTCCCGCCCCCCTTCCTCCCCCTCTGCTGTAACTGAGAAATATCTTATATTTCGTCTTCAAGCTTCATGGTATAATAGCTACTGGCCATCCCTTACTTAAACACTCCTTCTTAAACTGTAGGCAGACGTGGAGGTGACGCTGAGGAGCTGTCTGGTTTAAGGGTGCCAGTAAATTTGTAAAGGACGATTAAGATGTGCAAAGTGTGCCAAGAAGGTGCCAAAGTTACAGGCGATGATTGGCGTTGATTGGGTAATAGGTTGTTAGTTATATATTTATGAGATTAATTCCGAGAAGGACGTCGTAGTTTTGAAGCGCAAGGTTGACTTAAGACGGAACTAATTATCGTGTGTGAGAATAGTTACTCCAGTATAAACAGACTTATGGTGGACTTTGTTGTTTGAAATTGAAAATTGACTGTTTAGACGTCAAACTGGAGGGAGACAACTGCCCAAACATCACCCTGGTGGGGAAAGACGTAAGTGCAATGAAGAAATTTGCGACGACGACGACGCAGACGTCACCGAACGACACGAGTAGCCTGAGCCTTTTCTCCTATGGTCGTTTTCGTCCCCAGAACCGCATGAACACCATCGAGTCCCGTCTGAAGGTGCTACAGGGGCAGGTGTCCGAGGCCGGCGCCGCCACCCCGCCCTCACCGACCTCCCCGGCCTTCCCACCTCCTGACACGGCGGGAGATAAGGAGAAGGTCGATCTGGAGAAGGCGGTGAAGCTGGCGAAGGAGGAGAAGGTGGCGATGTCGAGGACGGAAGCTAGTGTCCATGCCACGGGCACCACTGTTACCTCGAGTGTCACCTCAGTCATCCAGAATGTGATCAAGTTTGAAGGTGAGTGTTACCTGCTTCTCACTTTCTGGAGTAATTAGCTCAAGTATAAAGATGTCTATTTTCTTCTCAGGTGTTTGGGTTATGAGTCGAGTTCTGTTTTCTCTCTCTCACACAATTAAGTGACATTTAAGATTAAAATTAAGGAAGGTCGTATTTAAGGTAAGGTATTTTTAAGACCAGCATCAAGACAGGTCGTATTTAAGTGTAAAATGAAGGCAGATTGTATTTCACATTTTACCTCCGCTCCCGCATGTCATTTGTTTAACTGGAGTTCCTGTTTGGCCTCTACAGAGAGTGTCTTGAGTACCGAGGCTGGGTTGAGGCCCCCATCACCCCTTGTTTCTCCGCCTCACCACGCCCCAGACTCCTCACCCGTCCTCATCCTCGCCTCCCTGGACAAGAGCATCCTGCAGGTGAGTACATGCATCCTACAGTTTTTATCGTAGATTTGTTTTATCTGTTTTAGACCCTTATTTACCTCCCATATTTTATGTTGATGACCAAGGAACCCAGTAGGTAGGTTCATTTTCTCCGACTTTATTTCTTTAATAAACTGGAAAGAATTGTTATTAGTTTGTTCGGGATTTTTCGTTGTTATGTTTTCCAAGAACCGACGGACATTATTATTACATGGAGCTTAAAATTTGGGTTCTAGATGGAGCTTTAATTTTACTTTTGATTGTGAACTTTTTCTGCTTCGTGTATGGTAGGGGGAATTAGTTAAGTCTGCGGAGGGACTTTTTATATATACATGTGTGCTGATGTGACATTAAATGGAGGTATTATCCGTGTCTAGTAATTATCCGTGTCTGGTAATTATCCGTGACTGGTAATTATCCGTGACTAGTAGTTATCCGTGTCTGGTAATTATCCGTGGCTCATTAGGTAGTTGTTGATAGAGGATGGAACAGCTTGACTTCATCATAGCTCGACGGGGGAATGTATTGAGGAAGTGAAATCTGGTTAAATAATACTTATCGAAGGAGAGTGGAGTAACTTGTATATGTTTGTATGTATTCTGAAGAAGCCCATCTTGTGTGGGTTTGTTGCAGGTGAACTTTACGCAATTAATTAATCAAATAATCAATTTACCTGGTATAATTTATCATTTATCTTGGGAATTTTGTGGGTGTTACTGTAGGCCAAAGATCAGCTGGTTGACTTTTGTTAGTCTTGCCCGTGTAAAGGTGACGTCCTCCGCCGCCCACAGCACTTGGCTTTACTCGCCACACAGATAGCTTAGGATAATGGCCACTTTGGAGAACATTACGAGTCATCCCTGCTGCGCCTGCCACACGGTCATGGCGTCACCTATCACAGACACGGTAGAGATAAGATAATATCTCCCAAACCTCTCTCTCTCTCTCTCTCTTTCCACCTCCAGTATCTAGGTCTTTTAACACTATTCTAAACTAAGGATCAATCTCTGTCTTTATCTGTATCCTTGACTTAGCATAACGATATTGTAACTGGAGAATGGAAAGAGTTAGAATGATCATGCTTGGTGTGTTTATATTACGATGACCTTCCTAGAGCTACAGTATCTAGAATGTCATAGGTTAGCTGGGTGATAACTTAGGGGGGATAGGCTTTGAGATGTCACCTTGCTCGAGTGTAGTGTAGTAGTAGCGCTAATACGTTAACTCACCCATCATACATACTGTGGTGGTGGTGGTGTTTTAAAGAGGATTTCTGTCAGTCTCGCCGTCACTATCACCATTTACACTGTCAGTAGCACCATCAGGAGCGCCGTCTCCCTGTCTTCTGTCATTACCATCCCTCAAATACACCTCCTCCTCCTCAACACGTGGCCGCCAGACGCACGCACCCCCTTCCTCCTTCTCAACACATGGTCTGTGCTTACCGTGAGGCTTAGGCGTGTGAGTGATGGGATCCTTAACGAGGTAGTGCAGTGATGAGCCCTTACGAGATGGCACACTCTCTCCTTGGCTGACATATCGCACACAAGATGGCTGAGAGGGTGTGGTGGGTGAAGGGAGCGGAGGAAATGGGTGAGGGTAGTGCACGAGATAGCTGAGGTAGTGTGGTGGGTGAAGGGGGGTGGATGAAATGGGTGAAGGTAGTGTGGGTGAAGGGAGTCCATGAGTTGGCTGAGGGGGTGTGGTGGATGAGAGAAATGAACGCAAGATGGCTGCATCACTCCGAACCAGTTAAAGGCGAGAGAAGAAATTAGAAGATGGCTACATGGATGTCTGAAACAATTACGTATTTTGTTGAAGGAAATGGATGAAAAGTTGTAGAGTGGATAGGAGATGGATGAAAGATGACTGTACCGTATATTGGGTGTCTGAAAGAGTTACGTATGGATGACTAACTGAGTTTATGAGTCAAGGATGGAAGAGCAGTATCGCTTATGCTCTGAAATGCATCAAAATATAAAGCCCATATATCAGACGATTATCATCATTTAAGTACAGGTATAGAGTAAATACACCCACCTAACCTAACCTATCCTACCCTACCCTAACCTAACCTACCCTACCCTAATCTGCGAGATCCGACTGGTCAAAATGTAGGAATTTCCTCTCCTACGTGGTGCTTAATTGAGATATTAAGAGGCTCGACCGAAAGCACGCTCTACCGGCAATCAACACGTGGACGCCAACGTAAACAATCCTCGCTCACGTGCTGGGCCAGAATGTAAACAAACGCCTGTAGGTAGCGTAACGGAGTATTTGTTCGTTGTATTGACACACTGCACACTGGTAGCGAATGCACTGTTTTGGGAATTGTGGGTGGGTGGGAGGGGAAGGGGCGTGCTCGTGTGTGTGTGTATCGGTGTATCGTTCACTGTTGTAATTATGTCAAGTACTTCAACAGCGACGTGGGGAATAGACTGTACAGTATAGCTGGGTGTGTATGATAGATTACTTGTTATTACGTCGTGGTGGGGAGACTGTAGTGTAGGTATAGCCTGGTGTGTACTTCGGCCAGGACTGTAGAGAGAGGAGAGATCGTATTACAGTGAGTGTGGGTATATCGTGGCCGTGCTGTGATGCCTGGGCCAGCTGGGAGGAGGTGGGTGGGGGACGAGTGGCAGTGGGGGAGGACGAGTGTCAGTGTGGGAGGGATGGGGGTGGTGGGGGTAAGAGAAGGGGTGGGTAGTTCACCTACCACCAACTCATAACTTGGTGTCTTAAATTAGTCTGGAGGGTAGTGGGGTGGGAGGAAAGGGTGTGTGCGCAGAGGAAGGCCGGAAATGTTGTGCTTCGTTACATCAGCACTCCTCTTCTTCCTTCCTTCTTTCTTTTCCCCCCTCCCTCTTTCCGCGTCTATTCCACACTCCTTCCATCTATCCTCCTCCTCCTCTTATTCTACCACTCAATTTCCGTTGTCCATCCCTGTTGCTAGTGGTGTATATATATATTGTACCCCGTAATGGATACTCTCTCTATTTTCGTCAACAAATATGAGAGAGAGAGAGAGAGAGAGAGAGAGAGAGAGAGAGAGAGAGAGAGATCAGCGATGGGTGTCATTTTAGTGCGGGTGTAGTCGTGTGTTGTGAAGACTCTCTAGGTGTAGTGGGTGTAGAGGCATATACTGTTGGGTAATGGCTATAAGGTGTAGGAAGATATATTGAAGGTGATGGTGGGTTGTAGCGATAATCCTGGTTTATCTCACGTGTCAGGTGGTGGTGGGAAGGTGTAGTGAAGGTGTTAGGTGTAGCGGTAAATCAGATATAATTGGGTAAGTGCTTAGTCTCGCAGAAGTGTTGAATGCAAGGTGTCTGGGCTGGAGTGTTAGTGTTGGCTAAAATTGATTTATACCTTTTCAGCCTTTCATTAAGAGTAGCGAACCTTTCCTGTCATTTGATTCGAGACGGTACTTGATGTGGAGGGGTTATGGAGAAGTTGGTTTTGTTTTCGTGGTTAGACAGATATAGACAGACAGACAGACACAGATTGGGAAAGGTAGGAAATGTGTGTGAGTAATATGGGGAGGAGGTGGGGGTGGGGTGGGTGGATGGTCGTAGTGCCAGGCTGAGCTGTTACCTGTCACACCTCCATTAATATGCCTCTCTCTCTCTTTCTCTCTCTCTCTCTCTCTCTCTCTCTCTCTCTCTCTCTCGTGTTCGTTATTTCATTCCTGTGTATCTCCTCTCTTCCCTCTCCCTTTCACCACTTCATTCCATTATATTGCCTACTGTCCACTCGCCCCTCTCCTCCTCTTCCTCTCTATTTTCTTCATTTCTCTCTTGTTTTATAATCTTCCCTCCTCCTCCTTCTTCTTCTTCTTCCACTCTCCTTATTTCTTCTCCATCTCATATAGCTTTTCTTATTAATTGTTTTCATCTTCTTTCCATTATTCTTATTTCCCATGTCCCTCCCCTTTCCCTGTTTCTCAAGATTCCTTTTTATTTGTCTCCCTATTCTTCCTTCCTAGTTCTCTAATTCAATCTTCCATATCCTTCGTCTATTCTCCCTCTTCCTTAGTTCTGTACTCGTAAATATATATCTCTCTGTTTACTATTAGACACCATAGTACTCAATGGGAGGGTCTAAAGTACTCTAGTTCTTTTGGAATTTTTTTTTATCCCTTCTCGGCTGCTATACGGTGGTGGGGTATATTTGTCAGTTTGTTGTCTGTCCTTTGGTGTGTCTGTCTGTCTCTCTCTCTCTGTCTTTAGTGTGTGGTCCTAAATATTTATCACTGTAAAGTCCTGAGATTGAGTTTGGTAATATATATATATATTTTTTTGGGGGTATTCAGTTACGGAAGAATGAGTACTTGGACTCTGATGTTGTAAAGGCTGCAGGCCACTTATAATGTCTTGTGTCTTATTTTTAGTCTCGTTCAAACATCTTCTTTTCCTTCCTTTATCCTTCTCCTCCTAGTTTTCCTCTTCCTCCTCCACGTTTTCCTTTTCCTCCTATTATCTTCCTCCTCGTTTTCCTCTTCCTCTTCTCAGGCTTCAACCTCATGCTCTTCCTCCCCCTCCTCTTCCTCGTCATTCAAAGGAAAGCTATCCAAGTACCCTCAGCAGTAAGCTATCGCCCCGGGCTATATACCTTGTTGTGATATTCGCCCGTTGGAATACCTCGGTTTATGGCCTGTCCCCAACACTAAGAGAGAGAGAGAGAGAGAGAGAGAGAGGGGGAGAGAGAATTTAATACACACACACTCTCTCTCTCTCTCTCTCTCTCTCTCTCTCTCTCTCTCTCTCTCTCTCTCTCTCTCAAACGATATGCAAATGTAAAAAAAAATAGTCGTAGGAAATTGTGAAATAAAAGTGATTGAAAAACGCGAAATAAAAACGACTCGAGGAAAATACGAAATAAAGTTGACTTTGGAAAATGTGAAATGAAATTATATTGAGTAAAATGAGGAATATAATGACAAATAAGACTACGAAGAAACAGGAGATAGAGGAAGATTATTACGTTCATTAGAC